TTTTCAAAAGCACATTTCTGCCACGCCTCACGAATTGTCACGACACGTGATTGCCTAGCGCTGCTAGCCTTTTCCAACGGGGACAGTGAGCCTTTACACGCCCCCGTGTTAACTGGAAGCGCTTTTTCCCGATGGCTGGGCCATCCACTGGGGGTCTGAAGAATAGGAGAAACTACAGGGATTAAAGGGCCACAGCTTGTGAAAGACATACAACTGCTTGTCGGGGAGCTAGATGTGCAGATTCGCTTAGCCGCTACTACTAGAGTGCACAGTGAGCAGGGAGCTTACCCTGGATGTTGGGAAAGGGGAGTTGGGGCTGAGTATGCAGGACTCGCATCACTGCAACTGGGTGAGCCCGTAGAAAGCCAAGGCGAAAAAAAACACTGCTTATGCTGCTCAAATTGCTACTGAAAATGCAATCAAACAATGGACAAATCGAAATACCAAACAAGTTGAAGTGATGATGAGTGGACCAGGGATAGGAAACTGCATTAGGTGCTATTAGAAATAGTAGGGTAATCCTTAACTTTATAAGAGACGTTACTCCTATACCTCATAATGGTTGTAGGCCTGCTATGTTTCTACTACAGCAGGTCGAGTAATATTTAACCAACAACTAAGATCTGTTTTTTTTTTTTAAATTGATTACTAAGATTTACATCAGAAAAAAAAAAGAATATATGAGTTTATCAATCAATCCAATGAATGAGAAAATTATATGTGATATTCAGATATAGTAAAATAATAATAGATATGTTGAAACGTTTATTTGTGAAATTCAATATGATGCAAATCTMAGTAATACAAATTGTAAAAAACTAGAATAAAAAATCAATAAAATACTAAAAAAATAGTAGATAAAATAAAAATACACATATTGTAAATATATACATACTATATAGATATTGTAAATATAATGAAATGAAATATATGACAACTGTAAATTTAGATCTGAAAAATTCTCTAGTTGCGGAAAAAAAGATAGGAAAGATTACTGTCCCGTCGGCTAGCTCAGTAGGTTTCATGCCTGAGCGGCACCGCGTAGGTGTTGGGTTCTATTCCTGTTGCCGTCACTCTCAGTGGCCTGAAGGATTGGTGGCCACGACCAATCAAGACTGGTAACTCGCTGGGGCGAGTTGTGCCGCCCTGTAACCCATTGCAATAGGGGAGCATCGGGCCAAGTGGAAGTGGCTGCTCAGGTCCTGTTGCGGCCAGTCGGGACACACCCAATACACATCCAATAAAAGAGCTCTCAGGTTGAGTTCTTAGTCAGAATCATTATAGCTGACATTGATAATTACGATGCTTATTAGGGTTGAGACCCTCAATTTCACGATATTTCCAGAGACAAAAAAACTCTCAACATACCTGTCACAACATAAGCTCCATAAGGAAGCTCAATAAGTCATGATCATGATATATAATCTACAATAATAACTTCCATTACAATCTCGAATTACTCCGGGCCGGTCACCTGTGGATATATCTCAAGACTATCGCCCTTTAAAAAAAAAAAAAAAAAAAAAAAAAAAAAAGATAGGAAAGATTACTCAAATTATTGGACCTGTTATGGATATTTCTTTCTTGCCAGGACTGTGTTTTTTTTTCTTTCTCTGTTGCTTTGCCACTTGTTATCACGACAATGGGATTGTAGGCATATATGACCCTGCAACATTGTTTGTGAGTCAGTTACGCCAGAGCCAGTTGATTGTTATTGGCTTAAACCACTAGTACTTCCGAGGCACTTTTGCACAAGGCTAAAAGTGCCCTGCACGCCAAACCTCGCCGAACGGTCATCGCAACAATTTTATTTTTCTTTTGGCTGGCACTGCCAGCCATTGTGGTCAGGTAGCCCCAAGCCCGAAAGTTGCGGCGCGCGCACGACAAGGGCTTGCGGCCGATGTATGGGTCATCTCTACCTTCTTCCCCCGAATACAACGTACGGTCATTATAGCTGTATTTGAAGCACCTTTCAGTCTAGATCCAGCTATAATGACCGTACGTTGTATTCGGGGGAAGAAGGTAGCTGAAGACTGTTGTTGTGCCATTGCCACCCCGACTTCCACAGGTATTGCATCACTCTCATATCACATGGTGCCTCCACGTCTTGTAAGGCAGGTAAGATTCGCCTCCGGTCACGAATAAAGGACCTTACAACCTCCAGCTTCGCATCGTCAAAGCTTTCTTCTGCTCTTCACCTTTTTTTTTTTTTTTTTTTTTAACAAAAACAAAGCTCCATCTATTGGTGGGGAGCAACACCTGCTGGAAACCGGGTCCAGCGGCCCATAGATACAACCATATCCTCACAAATTGGCACGGACTGGGAACCGGGCCCAGCGTCCCATAACGAGTACATTAAGAAAACTCATCAGAAAATTTCATGCAAATGAGGCTGGGAACCTACTAGAAAAACCAATTGGCCTAAGAATGAAATTTGAAAATTGAGATACCGGGGCCATTACCCGACTTTGGCTCAGAGAATTAGAGCTACTTCAGACATATCTATGACAACTTCATGATTCAGAAACGACTCAGAAGAACCCCCATCAATCCACTTTACCTCACTGAGTCTCCGGCAAGACTGACTGCAGCGGAGCCACCATCTCAGCTGCTGCTATACCATACTACCATCCTGCCAGCTAGCCCCCTTACTGGTAGGACGCGTGATAACCCACCATCTTTCCCACTCACCACTCCATGCTGCTGTGCAACAGTTCTGTCTTCGTCATCGTGAGGGAGGTCCCGGAAGACCAACAAGTGCAACAGTCTTGTCTTCGTCATCGAAAGGGAGGTCCCGGGTACTTTCTAATGAAGTCAGCTGACCACGGCCGGTACCCATCGGGACTCCACTCAATGCCAATCGCATCCCTTCTGAACCACCCCCATCATAACCCCCTTCATCCTCCCCAACTCCGTCCTAGTAAAGGGTTCGAAAGACCATATCCTCAGCACGAGCCAGACACAATCCTCATCCTGCAATCTCCTGCCCCCTCAGAGATTCCAGTCTCCGTCATCGAGAGGGTAAGCCAGCGCTGCCTGAGGCCAATCGCACCAGGATGATCCCTCATCAGCCGGTACCCATCCGGCAGCTAAGCTGCCCGATGCCAATCGCATCTAATGAAAAATCCCCCAGCCGGTACCCCTCAGACGACCTGATTCAACCTTCTCTCCGTCCTCACAAAGAGTCATCTCGTGCCCTTTGCCCTCCACCTTGAACAGATCCCCCAAAACCCAACAGAACCTCCACTCGCCTGTCCCCCCTTCTGCTCTTCACCAACACTGCGTGTTTGTTAATATTCCCCGTAGACCCTGCGGAAAACATTCGCTTTCCAGCTTTCACATGGGTTGTTCAACCCCTTCTTAGCAAGCACCCTGAAACAATTACTCAAGCAACTAATAACAACATCAACCATGCTTGGAGCTACGAATGGCCAACCCCTCAACCTCAGTAGTGCGGCGCCATCCTTCCACCTGTGACATCCATTGCCCACCTGGAAACAAAAGAGCATCCAGACCTCAGCAGCATCTAGAGGAAAAATCTATTACGGGGTCCAAAAAGCCTCCTCAGTCAGCACTCCATGGCAACCCTTCATCATATGAGCATTGTACCGCTAGTGGCTCACTGATTTCCTCCAACAGCCACCTGTGATTTTCTGTGTCCACCATTCTCAGCAACATTGAATAGCAAGTGCCTCTAGTGCTTCTAGTGCTTGAATAGAAAGTGCTTCTAGTGCATTAGTGCTTGAATAGCAAGTGCTTCTAGTGTTGAATAGCAAGTGCTTCTCATGCTTGAATCGCAACTGCCTCTCCTGCTTGAATAACAAGTGCTTCTGGTACTCCAGTCAATTCGGCAGGGAAGATGGGAGGGACATGCAGTCAACCTCTGTCAATGGTCTTTTTTTCTTTCGAACCTTTTATTATTCCGGGCCCAGTGCCCAAGGCAAATATACAGTTCACCATATGCAGTGGTCGCAGGTCCTCCAACCTTACACCTCAGGTGGAGCCGCACCCGTGTAAAGAATGAAAGAACATAAAAAGTTCCAAACGACTTTAATCCCTTCAAGAAAATCTAGGACTAGACACTCTAGGACTACACACTATGTACTTAGGCAAAATCGAGGTCGCTGCCGAAAGTGACCATAAGAAACATTTTTGAAAGCAATTGTCTTTTTTTTTTCCCGTTGTTACCAGACTTTTGGCGCTCTCTGGGTTCTCGTGTGCGGTATTTTGGTACCACCTCGAGATTACTTTCCTATCATTGCCGCCCTTTTGGTTTCGCTTGTACGTTTTTTTTTTTTTTTTAAAAAGAAGTTGCAGTTTGTACTATAGAAAATTGGAGAACTGAGGCCGGGAATCCCTCAACATCTCAACCCGGAATTCCTGGGACCAATACCCAGTTTAGGCTTTACTGGAAACCGGGTCCAGTGTATTTCGGCGCCACCTCGAGTTAGTTTCCTATTTTGCCATTGGCGAACCATTGAGGCTTCCCTGTTGGTTTCCTATTTTGCCATTGGCGGACCACCGAGGCGTCCCTGGGCTCGGTCCCACTTGCTCATTTTCGTTGTAGGAGGCTACCACGAAACGACTGGCGGGCGTCTAGGGACCATCGATTTCGTCAATCCATGGTCCTAAGGCGCCCGCCATTCTCTTCGTGATAGCCTTCTACAACGAAAATGCGCAGGTGGGTCCCAGCCCCTGTTTATCATTTTTTCATTTTTGGCGCCACGAGCGAGTCACGAAACGCTTTTCCCGCCGTTGCCAGCGACCCCGCCGTTATCAGCGAGTCACGAAAACGGAGGGGGTTTGGTTTTTCGCTATGGGCGGGCTCTTTTTTCTCTCTTCCGCCGAGTTCCGCGGCCCCACGTTTTAGACTGGGGGAGATATGAGGGTGATTTGACCAAGAACCACGAACAGTCACAGTCGTGCCGTCCCTTATAACCCCCAACCAAACGGGATAGGTTCGACTATTCACCACTATATAGCCTTGTCGTCGCTAAACTCTGGAACCAAACCAAACCGAACCGGAGTACTTTCAGATATCCATATCCACCATAGTTTTGCTTCACTCGAGGGAGGGTCGGTGATTGGTTGGTGATTGGCGATGGCAGCGGCATCAGCAGCGCAGTGTTCTCTGGACGCTGTGGGGGCGAATTTTCCTCAGCGTGTGCGATTGCAGGGAGGCGCTCCTGCAGAGCACGTGCAGGACAAGGGCAGCACGTGGCGTTTCTGTGTGTCCCAATGCCGGCGCAAAGAAGTCTTAGGCCGCCACGTGTCCACGGCAGCGAAGATGGGTTCGTCCACGTGGCGTTCTCCTCCGCGCGAGCGACGAGGGATCGAACGGCCGGGAATGCTGCAGGTGGGTTCTGAGACGGAAGATACGCTCACAGGACGACAGCGACTGGGGCGAAGCGGGGGGTATCGAGCAATCACGCAACCAAAGACACAGCATCGGCGCCGCCCACTGGGTAAGATCGGAGCCACCGTAAGCATCCACCGAATGATCCTTCCACTGATCGCTCGGCATGTGCCACATGCCTGAGAAATCGAATGCTGATGAACGATTTCTCCGGGGTGACTGCTTTTGATGATGACGATGTCCATGGTGAAGCAGACACACACACAAATAC